ACCGGGAATTGAACCCGGGACCCCAGGATTACAAGGCTAGTGTTCTTACCGCTAGACCACCGTGATATATTACAATATACTTTATTTTTCCACCAAATATTTTTGGACTTACACTTTTACTGGGTCAATCAAGAACTTCCGTGCCACTGCAATAATAAAAGCCAAAAGTACTTTAAGAATTTTACTTGCGGATGTCTGTACACAGAACATTATTGTTATATTGTCAGGAAATAAAATAAGAAAACTAAGTACCTGCTATGATGTAAGTGAAATTGGGTTTGCAGAAGTATTGTGGATAGGCCTGCATGAGTAGTGGTACAGGCACAACTAATTTTCTGTCTTCCTCTGCTCGAATTTGCACCAACACTTTACCTATATGTTTCCCAGCTGACATGTATCTGCAACATGTACCTAAGACGTCAATGCGATCTTAAGAAATGCTAATATGATATATGACACATCCCTGTTCTTATAAAATTTCTGAAAATGAGTTTAAAAGCACGTTTTATTATACACGCATATGTTGGATATAGCTCATTGTGTGAGGTATATCTGATACATGTAGTGCTTCCAGAGTTGGCTGTACATCCAACGTCAGCCGACTTGTTGTCATTATATTGACAGATTTATTCTATTATACTTATATTTTAAGATTCGTGGTGATCACTGGAATGGAACTCAAAACCTTATAAATTCTGGGCTAGTATCCTAACCAAATGACCACTAATATTAAGATGAAAAACAATGAAGAAATCTGTGTACGATTTCAGGTTTTCACAGCGGTGAGTCTGAAGATTCCCGTCTTCTGAGGCACTGCGCCATGTAGTCTGGTAGATTTCCTGGAAACTGGAACTGTTTAATCTGCTGATGATCAAACAATCATGGCAAAATAAGAATTTTACTTATAAATTATGTGACTTAATTAAAGAAAATACTATCTTGAAATGTCAACACATCAATAGAAGTCCAATGACTTCCAAGAGAGAAAAATATTATAATTAAAAGAAATTACAGAATTAAATAACAGAAAAGTCAAAGTATTTAACTGTTTATGATACCTGATATCACATATAAGAAATGGAGATAACCATATAAAAACTAACTCTGTAGAGCAGAATCCTCTTTGAGAAGCTGATAGAATGCTCAGCTAGGTAAGAAATTCCCATTCTCACAAGCTCTCTGTTACAAGCTTGTCTCAATATGAAAATGGTTACCTGAAAGCCTGCTCCACCTGACTGTCAGAAAACACAGTCCGGGGCAGCGGTCGTACAGTCCCTGAAGCTACACCTTCGGTCATGATGTGATGCAGATTTTTCTTAAGCTCAGGGGATGAAAGAAATTGTTTATCCAAAGTGACTCCAAAGAAGCTTGTTTCCTTCAGGAACACTTCCATGCCTACATGTCAGATACACTCTCAGACAAATTGGCTCACAAAGACAAGAAAGAGTACATGACATGCAAAAGTAGACAAAGTGTAAGCAGAAGCAGTGACTGGAAACATACATGTCAGTACCAAGTTGTAATAAATGATGGTGATACATTTTTAAACTTGTTTCACATTAGATAAATCTTTAAATTGGACAAGAAATTACATGTTTCTTGCATGACAGTAACAGTAACTGGCATGCCCGTGTTTTGACTTCAAAATTTGGTAACAGATGCTTTCTGTAGGATTTGAGACTTTCGCAGCGAGTACGATCAATAAAATCTTCTCGGGCAATCAGTGGCGTCAACTCTGTCTCAATCATCCCCGATCATGGGGACAGAGTTGGTTCGCGAAACCTTGGTTTACTACAGTAACCAGTTGACGCGGCTGTGTGCCCCAGAAGATTTTATTGGTTAGATGCTTTCTGGTTTATGAAACAAGGTTCCTATATATGATGTACTATTTATTCATGCTGTCTGGAGGAAAAATCTGTGAGTATGAAATATTTCGATCATTTTGTGTTTCTCTTATGAATATGACAAATTATAATGGAAACTGGTTAATAACGTCAGTCATACCAATAGTGTTGTTGCTGGTAAGGTCAAATTTTCCAATCTCCAAGAATCGTCCTCGAGGGGCAAGGCAGCGTACTGAGGCCTGCAGCTTCTCTTCAGAAAGAGAGTTGAGAACGAGGTCTACCCCTTTTCCATTTGTCTGTGACATGATAAGTTGCTCAAAAGAAGTGTCTCGAGAGCTGCCAATGTTATGGTCCATCAACTGGGTGAGAAGAGAAGAGGGAATGTTGACAAATTTCACAGTTTGATAAGGAAGAGCATCTTCATAATGTCATAGGAAGACATCTCTAGAATGTTCATATTGAAGCATTCCAGTTCTTATTACTATTCAGCCGCTCGCCAATCCCCAACTTCCCTCCATTTTCTACTTCCAATCCTTCCCTGTGTTTCTTTTACTTTCTTCATTCTCTTACCTTCATTTTAGGAAACAATTAAGGAAATAAACAGCAATTATCGCTAACCACCCAAAATCTGTACAATAATTTCATTTATTAAGGTGTAAAATCTCCCCTGCATATTTAAAACAGAATAAGATTGCTTTAAGTAGTCAAAATGGCTGTTAAAATACCTGTGGAAACTGCTTTTTGATAAAGGCACGTTTCTCCTCTGTACCGACAGTGGTAAACACCGTGCAACCTGCGTGCAGACAAATTTTGATGGCTGCCTGGCCTACGCCCCCCCTGCCTGAGTGGATCAGCACCGACTCACCCTTTTTCATGTGACCAATCATCTCAAGCGCATAGTAAGCCTGTCAACAGCAAAACAAAGCATCAAATTCTTATTCTTCTATTAAATTTGCTTGGTAAATGTAGAACATGTAAAGCGATGCTTCGGACAAGCATCACATTATAAAGATAAATATGCAGATTAGAGGATAAGTTCCGCTGTTTCATGGCATGGGATCTAGATCAGGGGCAGATAATTATTTTAGCCTGAGCAAAAGATGAGTCTGCTTTGGAATGAGAGGGCTCGAAAATCTAACAGAAGATTCTGCAGTAGAGAAACTGTTAAATAACTATCAGCTATATGCACTGACCAAATATGTTACGTTCACACACGCGTACGCACACACCACACACATCACACAAGAACTGTGTTATTAAGAATTAATTAAACTATATGTAGAGTGGGCCTCATCTGACATTCTCAAACCCAAATGCATGTATTAATAAATTAAAACCTAACTACTACATATCAGTGGATTTAGCACAACATTTTAATATTTTTATGTTAAAACTTTGTCATTCGTGAAACCCAATAACTATTTCAAATTTTACTCACCTGTATTCTTTTTACTTATGACTTATTCCACATCCCATGACTAATCTCTTGGTTCCATGGAATGTATATATGTATGTATATACAGTAAATATGTATATAGGGACCCAAAACTTTAAATTCTCAACCAATATTTTTTTTTAGTGGTCATTTCAAAACTCCAACCTCGGTATGATAAGTTATGTTCACAGAAGCAACCACATCCATCCCACTAATCTACGTACGAAGCGTATATTTTATTACAGTTTTTTAAATTAAATGCATTGAATAATATATACTAAATTATAAAAAATGTATAGTCATAGCTAAATTTTATGTCAAATCTGTTTGCTTGCACTTGTTCTGGAAGGGGGGAGTGAAATTTATGAAATGTTTTAAGCGGGCGCAAGGTATAAAAGTTTGGAAACCTCTGGTATAGGCTAAAGGACATACACTATCTTATCACTACAGTTCTACACCCCAGTTCATACGAAAAATTCTTCATTTTTGTCTCTCATTTGCATTTGATTTTATATAGGTTAATTCCTGTATTTATTAATTCTACAATTCGTGTGTCCAGCCAGGATCAGACCTTCTGAAATGTGATTAATACCTGGTAAATTTATACCTTTTCAATTTTTCAGTAACTATATCAAGCTCAAAAGAACAAGGTTCAAGTATTAATGGCTAAACTGCATGTATTTATGTCTAATATCATAAAGTCTATTTGCAATCAATAGCCGAGTGACGTACAGTTTCTGCCTTTAAGGAATATCTAACAACGAATATTAAACTATTTATTTTTGAAATACAAGAATTTGCAAGACCAGTTTTATCTCCATTCTGGAAATAACAAGTGTATGAATAATCATATAATAATACCAATACTAATCAAGTGTGGGAAGAACGCATAACATCTACATTTTGCTGCAACAACATAAAACTTTTTCTGAGTGTATCTCACATGGACTTCACTAATTTCTGTAAGTAACATAATTTACGATCATTAATATACGCAGAAGATTAAACGATTTTTCACAAAGAGGTAAAGCTGCTTTTTGAGGACCTGAGGTCCAGCTTGCTGGCTGCAGTACGACTCCTACGAGCAGTGCACAAAATGTAAAAACGTAGTTGAAGACATAAAACACTGGCTGCATAGTAACACAGTACCTTACCTTACTAAGGACGTTTCAGTTATTCAGCACAACATATTCTGAACTGGAATATATATAAGGTCATCAGAACTGGCCCCACCTCATACCCGCCTTAAAAATGGCAAGTGGAATGTCTGCTGAATTGCTGGTTACGACAAACATTTGACACGGCTCTCATCTGAAAGCCAAAGTTTTACATTAAACACAATGGACTGACTGATGTTACTGTCATGTTACTAGGTTGCTTTCTTTCTTGCCAACATCACCACTGATCAAAGACATAGATCAGCACCTCCTCACTAGGCTACAGTACCAACATCGTTCTTGGAATCCAGTTACATCCCAGGAAAACTATCACCAAGATTTTGGTAAATTTGGTATAACCACAAACTGTACTCTACTTTACAGATTTTATTTGAATGTTGTAAGACTTTGTTCTACAAGGAATGACAGCTCGTGGTATCACCATATCTGTGCAAATAACATACCTTAGCATGTGAATGAATGATAAGAAATGCATATATTTTGTCAAAAAACATTTGGGAGATCTAGGAATAGATGGAAATATAATATTAAAATTGTTCTTGGAGAAATAGGTTGCAAGGATATAGATTGGTTTCATCTGGCTCAGGATACAAGCCTGTGACAGACACTTGTGAACATGGAAATGAACCTTTGCACTGCATAAACAGTGGGAGATTTACTGATGCTGTGTGACTACTAGCTCTTAATGATGGACTTCATGGAGTTAGTTATCAATGTTCTCACTTTCCTTTAAGTTTCCTACACCCATACATCTATTTGGCACAAGTAATGATTGGTTTTGCTTGACAACCTTTAGATAAATGAGATTAAACCTTTCCATATCTAGCTTATGCTTTGCTTGTTTACTTACAGAAAATTTCTGCCAAACTTTGTAACCACCAAACAGTGGTCAGTATCAGACAGTAATTATAAAAGGCTGGAGTGCCATCTTGCATCCACTAAAATATGATAAACATAACTGTGTATTATCCTACATGAAGAAGTGAAAGTGTGTGATATGGGAACAATGTAAAGTTTGTCCCACTATACGCCATGTAGGCGCTTGGGGTGAGTGGAGGTATAGATCCTCTCTTCCTTGATCTCGGCACTAGATGGGGGTGAGCGGCCAGCATCACGCCCCAGCCGGCTTTACCCCCGGGAAAGGACCCCGGTACCCATTGTAGAGGAGGCTGGGTAGGCCCCAGAGCCGGTCTGGACGCAGAGGCTAGAGGAAAAATCCTCTGCATGGCAACGATGTAACATTAGAAATTAAATTCTTTTTTTAAATAGCAAAGTTTACTACCGCTCTAATCCAATTATTACCACTTATTATTACTCGATTTTATGATGCACTTTCCCCACATTTTAAATTTTCTTAAATCAGGGTGCATTTTACATTTGATGGTGTCTAAGAATTGACACAGCACTTTTCTCATTAAAACCTTTACTAAATCAAAGGTCCATCTTACAATCAAAGGCATCTGCAAGCAGATCAAAATTCTAATTGGTATCCCTCCTTAGATGCTAACAGATGAATTTTTACCTTATAAAAAGTAAAGTCCCTGTGCTTAAGCAACAAACCACAAGGAAATTCAAAGGAACGGAGGTAAAAATCTGTCTTCTTAACCTCAGCACTAGATGGTGTGGAGTGGTCAGCTTCGTAATCCAGACACTTTACCCCTAAAAAAATCCCCATTCTCAATGGATAGGTGACCAGGTAACATCAGAGCCACTCTGCATGTGGTGAAAATGAGAAATAAGCCTCTTTCTGCCAAACATCAGGCTGAAGTTGTAAAGCCCATATCTTAAATTTGTTCCTTCTTAGAAACACTCTGGTCTATAATGGGTCCAATCATACCACAATCTATAAATTTTATGTTGATACACCAACAAAATAATGCAATACAACACTGAACTATAAAAAATAACCACAGACAGTCCGTCACACGTCACATTCCAGCGATACATGTATTTATGTAACAGAAGTGGAAGGCAGTAATACTAAAATGTGATGAAGGAAAGGAGCAGACCATGGCATCCATCTGTAACTAGGTCAACGCAATATGCAATACATTCTGGTGGATCTGGAAGCTGGTAGCGAAGGTAGAACTGTGAAATGTGTGTCGCCAAACAAATAACGAACATCCAACACAAGGATAAAATCTACATCATATTCATGTTCAGCCAAAGTTAAGCACTTCAAGTGTATGGAATATGGACAAAGTGATACATAATCAGAGGCTAAATGACCATTTACAGTGTGTGACTTGGACCACTTAAAAGACATATTGAGGAATTGTATAAAAATATATATCATAAAAACAAACCGTTCAGTATTCTATAACTTGGATCAGTAACTTTGAAGTGGATCTTAGGGAATCAGGGTGTAAGGATGTGGACTGGATTCATTTGGTTCAGAATATGGTTCATAGCAAGCCCTTCTGATTAGTTATTAACTAATAAACCTCCAGGTTCGATAAGAGGCAGGGAATTTCTTGATTAGCTGAACAACAGCTATTTTATTAGGAACTGCTATGGTCAGTGGTGATGGTTAGGTGAGTACAAAAAGAATTTCATTAAAAAGAAAGGAATTGAAATATATTTGGCTGTGAGCTGTACAACATACCAACAAAATCATAATTCAAACAGAAAAGACAAGGATTAATTGGTCCATAGCTGAGAATGGAAATGGCAGAGTGTAGGGCAACCACCAACTTCCATAACAAACAACATTCCTTGGCTTACATTTCCCTTGTGTATTTAAGACAAATTACATCTATTTCCACAAAACGTTTCAACATAATCATATATTCACTGCTGTATAGAAGAGCATATAATGTACATGCTTAGCTTGTGTACAAACTACCTACCCAGACAGCAGATGTGCCTGCAGCTTGCAAGTTATTCATAACCTCAAATACACCTCTGGATGAGTAATCCTGGGTGGAAACTCCTGTTGTTGTTGTGCACTGTTCTTACATTACTACAAGGAATTCCTGTATATCATATTCAACTGAGGAATCATAGATCAGAACCCATTTTGTGCCTAAATGAAGGAGAAAACTTATTCTAAGTTTGGTTATGTCAGAATTGGCACACACACACATGTGGCATACCTTTTAAGACAATATTTTATTATTATTATTATTAACTCTGGTAGGGGATTGTTGTTTCTTGCAGTGCAGGGATGCAAAAATATCATAAAACTGGCACATGGACAGCTGCACATACTTGATAGCAGTTCTCCATTTGTTTTCTGGCCGACTCACTGAACATAGTAAATTTACTCTCACTAAAAAAAATATACAGAACAAACTCAGTAGCAGAGCGTGACTTTCTCAAAATTGTTGGCCAGATTGTGAGCCAGGAGGGGACATAAAAAGTTTAGCACTTAAGTATATAAATCATACAAAACGGTTCAGGAATTTGAACTCCATGTTAATGAGGTTACTGGCTTAAAGTTGAAAGGAAAATAAACCAAGGAAAAATGGTTAGCAACTACTGAGCTTACCTTTGCTTTTATTACACCTTATTGTACCTTGTACTTGTAGTCAGTTCACAGAAATTATATCAAAGACTGTGCTCAGTTTTCTGATGTTCATTCAAATGCACAGTTGAGATCAGTGGGTCTAGTGGTGATAAGTATGAAGATGGCTGTCTTCTAAGATGTAGCACCATTTAATCTGATATATACTTACTGATATTTCTCAGGAGCTTACTACCTCCTTCATGAGGCTAATGAATGGTAGCAAGTTCCTCTGAAATGTCAATCAATACCTACATGGTGCAACATCCCAGAAGACAGCCATCTTAAAAATCACAGCTGACACTGGAATTTGTTTTTACGATGTTCTGCTGTTTAGTAACAAAATATTCCTTCATTGTTTAATCGATAGGAATATTTAGGGCACTCATCTGTTTCTCATTTATTCAGAGATGACATTCATTTGTTATTTTAATAACTGTTTCTGTAACAACAGTCACTTGTATAGAGTATCTTATTAAAATGCATGTACAAATGTTTTCATAAAAGTCTAACCTTGCAAACAAACAAACAAACAACAAACAAGCACCTGCCAATTATATATTAAGTTTGCACTACATAAATAATGAAATATTGTATGGTAATATTATATGACTGATTATTTTATATGGAAATTAGGCACACAGGAGCTTTACCTAACCACTGGTTGTTTGGGCTGTTATTTAATGACAATACATCATAAATAAGGTTATGAAGAATAGGTGAGATAAATGGGCACTTACACATAGTATACTGGAAGAGTCTGAAGAAGCAGTAGTACTGGCCCATTTCAAAGGACCCATCTTAGCATTTACGATGATATATGAATTAAGACACAAAACATTAGCCAGAACAAATACCATACAGATGATTTGAACCAGATACCCCTTGAATGCAAGCTGGTGGACTAATATGCCCACTAGTTAAATGCAACAGAAAACATATCAATTGTTTATTTCAAAACACACATTTAGCTACTAGCAACTGGCAGTATGGCTGTGAATATATATCAAGTGTTCTATATAAAGACTGTGGTTTTAAGATCAATACTGCAAGTGCACTGCTAATAAAAATAAGCAAATATGTAAGTAAATTCAGCAATGCTATACATATAGTAGAATGGAAAATACGTGTTAAAACCTTACAGCATATAACAGATATTAACTACCAACACCAAAAATTACATTTTTAATGTGACAAATGTCTGTTCCAGAATTTCCTTGGATGTCATGACAATCTAAGTTATGCTGTTTATCTAATGGGCCAGCTAATTTTCAATTTCCAATCACAAGGCACGTGCAGAAACTCTAGAGCCACAATCCACACAGAAAGAGTTTCAGATATCAAAACAATTCAGACATTATTTTGACAGTAGCGATGTGGAATGCTGTGGACATAAATTACTTTAACACAGTGTGTTCTGCTCACTAAGGCTGTTTTTGAATTTAAGTGCCTCAGAATGTGTCACCTGCCTGTTGATAATCACGGCGGCATCATAGCTTTCCAGCATTGTCAAGTGGTTCCCAGTCACAGAATGTACCTCCACCTTTTTCTCACAACACTGAAACATAAGATCAAACATGGACACTTACAGCACCCACAGGGCAGCTGACTGTGCGACGACTTCTCTCTGCAGACAAACAAGTAAGCGCATAATTTAACCCCCACTGTTACTGAAGATGATGTCAATTCTATGTTAATTACAGAATCCCCTACTTCAGATGAAGCAAACATCAAATTTTACCAAATTTCTCATAAACCAATCATTGCATAAAGAATGGACAGTTATGAAACACAGACGCCGTTAAGATCGTGAAACCTCTATCCATCGTTCCCGGAACTATCGTTTTCCCGGATGCATCGTCCGTTTTGTTCGGTCCCGAATACATCCCATATAAAATAATGTTACATTTTCCCGCTTCTATCGTTCCTCGAACTATCGTTTTATCGCATCGATCGTTCAAAAATCTTAGTCCCGGCCAACAATTTTCCCGCAATGATCGTTTCTGAGAAATTGTAACGAAATTTACGTGATATTTTTAGAATTTAATTCCGAAAGACGCACAATGTTTTTGGAATAAACAGTAGCGGTAACCTGTTATGTCGCCCAACCAGCACATTCTTTTGGAATGAGGGTCAGCGGTGCAGGGGTGATAGTTGGAGTGAATGGCGGTGCTTATTGTCAGAAATTTTACGATTTTAATTTGGGTGCACTCATATTTCGTTCCAGCGATGCCAGATGGCATGTGCAGTGTGAATTTCTTCACAAATGCTTTTATTATAAGTACTTCTGGTTCATCTCGTTTCCAGTGGTTCAGTGTCTTCTACAGCTACATTTTGTTGAGTTCGGTAGTAACAGTATTTCCATTCTTGTTATTGTTCGCGAAGGGGGTGGGAGTGGTCACTGCCACCGGGTATAAACCCATTTGCAGTCAATAATAAATAATAATAATAAAAAGAGGAAGACGACGAATGCGAGCCCGAAGCTTTGCCGAGTTTTGCCGAAGCACACGCTGCATTGGCGAAAGTGAAGTCGTTCTTTTATGCGCATAGTATTAGTGAAGGTGACGAGGAAAACATTTTGAACGTGGAAAGTGCTCTGTTTGGTCTAAAACGTAAAGTTTCGACAAACCAGTTGTCCATTAAAGACTTTTTTGGTAAAAAGAAGTAACTTTGAAAGAGAAACATTGTTTTTTTTAAAACTTTTAATGCTTTCCCGCATCTATCGTTTTCCCGCATTCATCGTTTTTATTTCCCACCCCCGCCGAAAACGATGCATCGAGGTTTCACTGTATAACCCAAAAACGAAAACATTTTTCAACATAATAGATGTTTCAAAGGATAAAGACAAAAATGCTGTGTACTAACCCTGCATTTGATTAGCATCACTAAAAATGTAGTTTTACCTGTAAGCATCAAGATCAAACAAATGCCACTGCTCAGTTGTCTGCAATTTACAATTTACACTTTACAATTCGAAAATTACGTGTGTTTCAAGGTTATCCTCAGTCACTCATGATAAATGCTGGGATAATCCCTTGAGATAGAACATGACCTCTTCTCTCCATGTCCATTCAACAAATCATAAAGAAACATTCCACAATTCCACACTGTATAGCCAAAACTGTTAAGAATTTAGTATTATTATTACTGGGTTAAACATCAGTATTCTATGAAGAAAAATATATTAAGAAACTGTGTTCTCTGACACCCTTTTACTTCTATGTACACACCCCTACTTATGATTGACACATTATATTACCAAATAAATATACAAAACCATACATAGTATATTCAATTGTGTGAATTTTGTGTTTGTATATCAACTGGAACTAACTTTCTGAACTCTTTCCTGGTTTAAAAATCTACGTTCCTGATGTTGGTGTCTTCTGTGCAATACATAGCATTTCCAAGCAAAAGGCTTGGCAGACTGGAAGGATATATTTAATATCACATTTCACTGGTTACTAACTGATCCTAAATGCGTCCTAAAACAGGAAAGATGTATACCTCATTACAATACCAAGTACACCTGACTTACAATAAAGCACACCCACCTTTGAGAGTCCATAATCTTCCTCTGTTTTTAGTGTAAATGTACTAGACCTCAGAAGGGTGACATGAGATTTTACAGTCTTCCTGGGGTCCCACTCATAGCTTGACATGGCCTTAAAACAGCTCAAGAATGAGACACCAACAGCTCTGTAGTTCTGTGCACTGTTTTTCAACACAGGAAGTTTAGTGAAGAAGTAATCTAACTTCTCATCCAAGCTCTTCAGAGGTGTCAGCTCCTGAACCAACTGTGAATATGTACATAAAGTAAAGTAAAGTTTGTCCCACTATACGCCATACAGGCGTTTGGGGTGAGTGGAGGTATAGCTCCTACTCATTCTTGACCTCGGCACTAGATTGGGGCGAGCGGTCAGCGTCATGCCCCGGCCGCGCTTTACCCCCAGGAAAGGACCCCGGTACCCATTGGATAGGAGATGAATAAGTACATAATAAACATGAAATCTGTGTACATGTATGCTACTTTAACACAAGCAAATAGTGGTGTAAGTGGTAGTAAGTGTAATAATTAATAGTAGGTATTATTTATTCCACTTACGCAAACATTTTATGGAAAATAATAACTAGTACTGACTGTTACATACTTATGCAACAGGATGCTATGGCAGCATGCTGTTAAACCAGTAATCCCAGAGTTAAAGTCTGGCCAACAGCCCCATAACACAGGGGTTTAATTATCTTATTCCCATATAATAAATGTTAACTGAATCATGAATGCACAGTCACTGCATCTAGAACCAGAATTTAGGACATATTAGAATTAAACTTAGTTTTCAAGTTTCAATTTGAATTGATGTATGACATGCTGACAGTCACAAATTTCCAGATAACTCTCGATACATCCATCAAGTCAACAATCAGCCGGTCAATCACATGCTAATAAAATAATAATAAATAAATAATTACATGTAAGAAGCACATATTACCACAAGACGTTGTAAGAGAAATGAAAAGTGGCTTATGTAATGCAATTAATAAGGTATGGCATTTGCTGTAGGACATACCTTGCTGAGAGCTGCTGACGAGGTTTCGCATGGTGCAATAAGGTTGAAAGCAGAGCATAAGACACTGATCTCAAACTGATCCTCACTGCTACAAACACTTTGTTCCAGCAGCACCTTCATGAAGTCTGGAGAACTGTCCAGTAGGTATAGCTTCCCCTCCCGCCCCTCCGCCTCAAGTTTAAGTGCCAGTTCCAGTGCCAGCAGGCCACCAAATGAGTAGCCCAGCAGAGTGAAAGGAGCACGTGGAGCTAGCCGACTTTGTATGTGCTGCAGAGACAGACAAGTTTTTCGTGTGATCCCACGTACTGTTTTAAAACACTGAACCTTTTCTCTGTACTGTATTTACCTTGTACTGTTAGGGTGGTTATAATGGGGATCAGGTGAGCAGTACATGCGGATAACATGACAGAAACATATGACAACAACATTAAAAAAGACTGCCTGACAGACCTAAATATAGATGGAAAATAATTTGCCAAATTGAATCAAAATCCTTATGTTCTGTGCAGGGTCATTACATATGGATGGGAGGATAGAGCATACAAGAAAGAGCTAATATTTGCTTAGACAATGAAAGTTTCAATTTTTTTAAAAAAAAGACCTCTAATTTCAAACATGAAAATGTGCTTATTTAAAGGAGCAGTGGAAGAGTTATTCCATCAGCACATTATACATACTGGCAGGAGGGTCTCTGCCATGTGGTCAATTGTGTGTCCCAGGTCACTGTAGTCGAGCTGCAGGCATATTGTCTGGTATTTGAGATTCTTGGCCAGAGGTTTCAAGATGTTTGGTACACCTTCGACACCAGGCAACATGAAGAGCACTGGCCCAGCCTTCACCTCATCTTCTACGTCCGTCCCGATTCCAGTTGCCGATGGCAGACGCACAACAGGCAACGATGCAGATGGCTCATCTCCTATCAAACGCAGCAACAAATGCTGTCCTTCAAGATCTTCATCATCACGAGATGCAGCTGCAAACACAAAAGATTTCAGAAATTATATTAATGAACACATGTTTCTAGTATCAGAATTTCTAACAACTTTTCCCTTTTCATTTTGAAGATCCTCATAAAACATTTGACATTGTATATGTGACATTTAGTTTAGAATATTTTTACATACTTGGCTTATTATAATAAAACAAAGCTTAAAGAACACAATAAACAGTAATTTTACCTGTTTATATGTAAGGGTAAGAAATTTGGCCTGCTGCTCATAAAGAACATAGGGTGTTTGTAAAGAAAATGGTGAAGAATGTTTTCACCTAAAAGAGATGAAATAACAGGAAAACAGATAAAGCGTATATTATTAACAAGGAACTTCATAAATTACATTCTTAATTTAATATTGTTTCGATAATTAAATCACGAGCGATAAGATGACCAAGTATGTTGCATACATGGTGTGAACAAAAAAAAAAAAACTTTGGAAATTTCATGAGTAGTTGATGACTAGACATAGGGATGGATGTGAGAATAGCGTAAATATCAATAATACAGAAAGAGAATGTAAAGACTTAAACTTGAAGTAATTGTACACAGAGAAAGTTAATTATGAATTTCTAAACCATAAAATGGTTAAAAATATCACTTTGTGTAAAATTAACCAAAATAGACTAAAGTGGCGGCAAATACACAGAAATGTTAGGTTTCGTGCCATATGTTCAGTTGAGATCATATTTCTTATGTTTTACTTTTACTGAATTATTCTATTTGTATTTTCACTATGATTTCCCTTACTTCTCAATATTCAGCTAATCATATTTCTAAATATAACTTCCACCTTAAAACAAAAAAATATGGGAACCTTCTAACGGATGCTGTTCCTCCCCATTTTGCTGCTTGCTTGCAGACAGCTCCTCAAGATGTGAGAAAGTCAGGTTACGGATTTCCTGAGGTGTGAGATATAATTCAAACTCTTGCTCCAGCGTCTGCTTTATCGCCACAGCTGTCATGGTGTCCAACCCCAGCTCTGCCAATGTGGAGTTCAGACAAATGGTCTTCACATCAGGGATACCTGCCATAAGAATCCCTATTACTATAAGACAGTAATATTTCATTTGAGATGGCATTTGTCTCTCATGCTAAGGGATGACACAAGACTTTATTCAATCAGATAATTTCTGCATCCTTTCTAATCTGATCCTGCAACAGCATGCATTTTTTCTCAAAGCATTAATCCTAAAGTAATCAGTACTATGACATTTAGAACCATTTGCTTCTAAAACCAGTCATCCGCAAATTTGCCACTGCTTGAACCTCAAAATGCCCATATAGTATCAGAAAGAAAAACAATATTTTTATACAAATTTAGAAATAAAGAGCATAACTTTAATCTGATACAGGAATGAAGAAAGAAGGGCAGACAACATATATGTTTCTACATATAGTTCTGTGTTTAATCTACCTGTGAATTCAATAGGAATTCAAGATCATTTGTGAAGTTTCTGATGTAAAATTTATGCAACATAAAAAAAAATTGTCATACTTAACATTTTTCACTTCTTACTTACCAATGATACTGGCAATACAAGATACTACATCGCCAGATCCACCAGTCCCTGCAGATTTGTCAGCTACAGCCGTGCTCGCGACTACAGGGCACGGCTGCCTCAGGAATACATCAAGCATTTCGAGATAGGATGAAATCTTCTGTGCTGGTGTGCCTCCTGCAAACCACAGATGAAACAAAAATTAAAACCAAAAATATTACAGTGTTGCCTTTCAGTAAACAAAACATAGTGTTATGAACAAATATGTTATTTCTGTTTCGTTTTTCCTTTATTATTCCAGTCATTCTTTCAGAAAAATATACATTAAAGTGCCAAAATCTATCTATGTACAGTAAAACCCCTCAAGTTGGACACCCCTCTACATTGGACACTTGTAATTGGAACCGGCAAATATCCTACAATTTTACATATCCACAATACCCTATATCTTGGACACTCCTTTATCCTGAAACTTGGTCACCCCTTTTGTTGTAAGTTGGACAGGTTCATGCACTTAGCTTCAATGCTTTTATGGGAAACGTTTACAGTTAGTATTTTGTTGTTTTGAATTTCTAACTGATGAATGCCTTCTGCCTGAGGATAATCTTATGGTTGAGGGTAAGACACATTGAACACATCATTTACAAGAAATAAGTGACATCATATGTAGAGCTAATGCCGTAAGTACAATTAAAAAAATACATGAACATTGCAACCACGAGAGTGGGTTTCAAAAGATTATTATTATTGTCATTAATTCTTAATTCAAGCGAGCCTACAGTAGTTAGGTTATGTAAGTAAATAGATTACATTGTCAGTAAACGTAAAGTATTGGTGCCCGTCCCTTTAAGCTTATCCATGCAAGTTCAATTTAGTGAAAACAAAATTTGTAAAAATTTTGATTTTTCTTATCAAAAATTTCCTTTTTTGGGAAGGGCTCCATAATACTCTACAATTACCACATTGTCATTACACCACAATTTGAAAGGATGATTTTCCCCTTTCCCTCTATCCTGGACACCTCTGTAAGTTGGACACATTATCGTGGAACCGTGAGTGTTCAAGTTAGAGAGGTTTTACTGTAATAGGCAAGCGTTGGTTGGTAATCATTCATCCATGGCCTGCTATGTATATTTTTCTGTACCACTATTTTATTTCTAAGGTTTAGCATCAGGTGAAAGCTTACTTCACATCACAATAAATGTGCACCCAGGTATATAAATCCATTTCCAAAGCATAACTGACCTGTTTGAATAACTTGCTGTTCCTTCTGCATCTCTGCAACCAACCCCACATCCCCAACACCGCCCCACTGTACAGCAAGACCTGGTAACCCATCTCTGACACGGGCCTCACAGACGCGCTCCACGACGGAGTTGTTCATGCCGTAGATCATCTGCCCAGCATTACCACGCCCACACGATACACTGGAGAACACCACAAAATGACGCAGGTGTGGACACATCTGGCGAGACAGCGCATCCAGGTGATGCGTTGCAAGTGCCTTGGGTCCTGCAGAAGCAGCAAAGTCTGCCTCAGTCTGGTTCTCCAAGAGTTTGTCTCGCAGCACCTACAATATACCATGATGTTTTGTTCAATTATTTAAGTGACTTAAAAAACCATGAAAATTCACATTATACACACTGTTCAGAAGCTATTTGAATGGAACATACAGACACATGGCCGTACATACAAAGGCAAGGGCATGTGTGTTCACAGCTACAGAGAACTACAACGGACATAACCAAACCAGAAGCTGCACTTTCCTTACAAACTAATGGAACAGACTAAGGATACATAAAGAATTTACTAACAAGTACCTTACTTCGTTTGTGTGCCGACTCTTTGTGTGACACACTGGATGTATAAATTGTGCTCTCAACAATTTTAATGGTCATCATTCTGTTGTTATTTCATTTTCCACAAACCAGGAAGTTTACATACATGAACAAGCTTAACACGTACCACAGCCAGGTTGAATATAGCATCAACTTGCCCCAGCTTGTTTGCATGTGACAGCAGAGCTCTTACACCACTTTTTGTGGTAATGTCAGCTGGAGAGATGACAACTGTCGCGCCATAGCTACGCCATATTCTCACACGTAAACTCTGGTAACCAGTCTTGATGCCATCACGAGATGTTAGTACCAGTTTACGAGCGCCTCGTGACACCAGCCAGTCAGCCAACTCCAGACCAATGTCTTCCAGACCACCTGAAAGTGATAACACTGTTCCACCTATGCGCTTCTCTTTAAACAGTGGACGGCATAAAACACAATGACACACTTTGTTTATACATCTCATAATTTCACATTCATTTTGGCATCCATAATCTCACAAACTTTATGGAGTATAAAAACACAATATAATGCTATACCATATCAACCTCTGAATGTTATTGACAGAATAGTTCTGAGCACTGTAACAATAAATTTTCTTCCACAAAATTCAAACTTTCATGTGACTTAAGACAGACAACAGATTTTAAAGGTAAAAATCAAACTGTAAATAAGTAATAATTAACACAGATAATGGATTTTAATTATCAGTGTTATAATGTAAGTTGCAGTAAAGACAAAGATGATGACTGAAATTACAGAGATTCTAAACTATATGTACAACAAAAGAAAAGCCTTTTTCAAAGTAACGAGGAAAAACCGTGGCTGAAGTGTAATATAATACAATATAAACAATGCATACACAATAAAAAGCAATTTCTATATACAATGAACATTTAAGAAACATTACATGTCTTAAGTTCTTCAGAGAACTTTTAATGTACACATACGTGAGCGGATGAGTACGCATGCACGCACGTGCACAGACACACACACACAATCACATTAACACAAAGATAGTATTAAAAATATATTAAAATTAGCCGTCAATCACATTGATTGACGGCTAATTTTAATATATTTTTAATACTATTTAAATAAATCACAATATGACGCATCTACAATATCTTAACACAAAGATGTTTTAATATTAGATTCCATTTAAAAACAAAGATGTTTTAATATTAGATTCCATTTAAAAAATCTCATAACTTCATAGAATCCTTTAAACCAATGCAGGAAATGATCAACTTTGTAACATATTTAATAAAATATGAACCTATGATAATGGGTAATCGAGGCGAAAAACACGTGTTTAAGAAAGTAAAGTAATTTTATATAAACATAAGTTTGTATTTGATGGTGTTTGACTTTCTGAAAGAATCTAGCCTTCAGTTTTGTTTGGGCATACAGTAAGACAACTGAGTACCTGTAATAATGTAAGCGTAACTGGGGTTGCAGAAGTACCGTGGATAAGCCTGCATGAGCCACGGCACTGGCACAAACACTCTTTTGTCTTCTTTTGGTCGAACATGCACCAAAACTTTGCCAATGTGTTTCCCTGCTGCCACGTATCTGCAACACAGTGACATACTACACGTGCCTACATAATTTTTAATTCTAATGTAATATATTTCTGAAAGAAGCATTAACCCTTCTAGATGATAAGCTACACTCAGTCCGTTATCTCTTACAAACATAAAACAAAAATAATAATTTATATTAACATTGATGTGTTTACAAAGTTTTCAAATAAATAAATCCCAAAGGTGATCTTGTCTTAGAATGTCTTCAACACTTGGATAAATCACATTTAAATTCAATCAGACTTAGATCAATAGTTTTGAAATTTAAACAAAATAAATTTGATTGACTTGTGTCAAAAGTTAAGTCCTTGAAGGGTAACAAGCAATGGCTATTTATTAAGAGGAAAAGATTAATACCTGCTTTTATATAATCTCCTTTTCTCAAAAAAAAACTATCTTACAAGCTTGTCTCCATCATAACCAAACCTGAGTGCTTGTTCCACTTCAGTGGTGGGAAACACAATCCTGGGTAGCGGTCGTACAGCCCCTGAAGCTATGCCTTCAGTCATGATGTCACATAATTTCTTCTTAAACTCAGAGGATGCAGTGAACAGTTCATCTAACATAACTCCATGGAAACTTGTCTCCTTCAGGAACACCTCCATGCCTACATATTGTGATTCAATAACAGAAACAAATAACATTAAGAACTTAAACTACAGCTGGTGAAATAAAATCACTTTAAAATCAGTATATGCATGAATGACATTTTCTACCAGTGTGCCATCCTACAGAACTAAACTAAGCTACACTCACAAAACTAGAAATATAAATTAATGAAAAACAGCCTACCAAGGAGGTTGTTATTCTCTAGGTCAAATTTTCCAATTTCCAGAAATCGTCCTCGAGGGGCAAGGCAGCGTACCGAGGCCTGCAGCTTTTCCTCAGCAAGGGAGTTGAGAACAAGATCCACACCTCTACCAAATGTCTCCAACCTGACAAGTTGCTCAAAAGAGCTATCCTCAGAGTTGCCAATATTGTGGTCAGTTAACTGATGCAGAAGAGAACATATTAAGAAAAAAGAAAGATATTGTAAGTAAAATTCACAGCTGGAGGACATATCCTAATCAAATCTTTAAATCTTACTTCCTTACCACATTTTAAATACTGAAAATTGTATTTGAATGTTTCAGCCATATATGTAACGAAATTAATGATCAAAGGAGGTTGAAACTGGTAACACACGTAATGGAGGGAGGGGATAAAAAATGTGAGCAATTAATGCTGGACGCCGAGTGGGCACTGTAGACGCGCTACATGATGTGCACATGGAGCCACACTTTCCTTCAATTCGGTGGTGGCAGATGAACGAAGTCATGGTCTTACTGACCCCTTCAGCCTATGCCTGAACAGGCTGGTGTTTCTGTAAGTAAAAATATGGGCTATTCAGATACCTGCGGGAACTGCTTTTTGATGAAGTCCCGTTTCTCCTGTGTACCAACAGTGGTATACACTGTACATCCTGTGTGTAGACAGATATTGATGGCTGCCTGGCCTACGCCCCCACTGCCTGAGTGGATCAGCACCGACTCACCTTTCTTCAGGTTACCAACAATCACCAGTGCATAGTAAGCCTGTGCATGGCAAAACAAAGCAATAAGCTTCCACTTGTACACTAAACTTGCTTAAATCTCTAAGAATATTATTCAGAAGGTGAAGAAATTTTGTGAAATTATTTCAATGGCTAAGAACAGTCACCTATAACAACTTCTCTTTCTCCAAGACTCACACACAAGAACAACGCTAAAAGTGATACCTTTTAGATACTGGTGATAATAGTGATGATAATTTTATCTTTCTGGGATTAATGTGTGCACAATAGTTAAGCAGATTTCTTGAACATGAGTCAATAAAATATAGCCCACACGTCTGTGAAACTCCTTTTGTGTTAATTCAGAGTATAAATAAGACAAATTAATGGAACTGTCAAGATAAAACTTCAGAAGGATTGACCATCATTTTAATTTTTGTAATGAAACATACAGAGACTTAACAGCTTTAAGTTACTACTACTTTTACACATTCCTTGTATGTAATGCACAAAACAAATGCAAAAATTAATCATATGGGTATTGCTACTCCGCTCATTTGTGAAATAAATCTCCCCAACTTTACTTATCTAAACTCACAGTTCCATAGGCAAGAGGCACAGTAGCTGCATCTTCTAGTGTCCAGTGTTTGGGTACATCCCATAGCAAGTCCTTGTCCACCAGCAGCATAGAGGCTAGAGCCCCGTGAGGTACCATTCCCATGACACGACTCCCCTTCTGGTCACGCCCAGAGAACTCAAACCCTTGAACATTGTCCTAACATAATAGAAAACAGTGTGAATTTCAAACTTATGACTGTCAATATAATGTTATAAACTATACAACCATCACACGGTGGAATGGTGGGTTTCTGGGTTATGATGGCATAAAGTTTTGTAGGAATGTTGGAGGAACAGAACCACTTATTAGAATATACACATATGGGAGGATAATATTGGATCTTAAAAAAAAAGGATATGCAGATGGAAGATGAATCAACTGTCTAAGAGCAGG